CAGTGTCAGGAGTGCATTTCTGGGCTGAGGCACCCAGAACGGATTTCAGTGCAGAAACACTCATGGGGAGAAGCCTTGCCAAAAAGAGTGGAGCACGGAGAGGGGCTGTGAGCCTGGCCAAAATGCAGGCAGGAGGAACACACTACCCTTCTGGTCTGGCATGGCTCTTCTGCACCATGCACTCAAGAGCCAAACTCTTTCCCTGTCCAGAGCCATTGTGTATTTCTAATTTTGCAGCTTTTAAGAGAAGGTTGTTACCCTTTTATATGTTCATATTAATGCCTGTATTTTTAAAATTCCTTTTGCAACACTGTTTCTCCTCAACAGACACACCCTGTACCATTTTGTGACAGAGTTCATCCTGCTCTTGAGGTACTTATTTACTCCAGAATTATGTAAAGAAACTTATATTTTGCCCTGTTGCTTTTTTTTCAGTGCATACCTGCCATGTGGGAAGGTAGAATTTAAACCTTCAGAAGGACCAAACCAAGGCCACGCTTTTTTAAAAAACATAATATTATTTACCAGAAAGAGAAACAGAGAACGGCAGGATGGGCTTTGATCATGCCTAATTATGGAGCATAATATTGGATACATGGTTACAATATTGTCATGGGTTCTTTTTTTTCTGCTCAGAAAAACAAAATTCTCCTTAAAGAAACAGCTGTGTCCTGCCTGCAGCCTGCAGAAGAATGGCATTAGTCACGTGCAGTCCAACACGTAGCACAATTGTAAAGTTCTCTCTGTGAGACTGACAGGAGCTATTCACATCGGCCCCCTCCACCATCTGCCTGAATGGCAGGCTCTGGGGCAGCAGCAGCCCCCCCGCACTGTCTCTGCACGGCCTCAGCACTTACTGCCCGCTCAAAGTCTGTCCCTAAGTGCAGAGAATCAGGCACTGAAAGCAAAGAGAGGATGTCACTCAGGTCAAAGCAGACTGTCAAGAGGGGGGAAAGAAAAGGAGGGTGGGGAAAGAGTCAAAGCTTCATCTGCTGGAGTGCCAGGCTGCTGTTCTCTCGGGAGCGGAGGTGTTAGTTTCAACAAGAAGATGTGGAGGGTGAGGAAAGGGGACAACTGGATAGCATGAGAATGGGGAGAAATCCCATATTCTCTTTCCCTGAGCTTAGAGGTTCAGCTCTGGGGCAGGCAGGACCAGGCTGTGTGTCAGTGCCAGTGAGAGATGTCCCTGCTGCTGTCTGCAGTGCCTGCATGTTGGGGTACAGGAAGGGATGCTAAGGCCTTTGGCTGCACCCCTTTGCAGTCACACACTGTCAGACATCCCTTTTGAATGAACCTGCAGGTCCTGGAATGGACAAACTTCCATCCCAGGCTGGGGCCAGGCTCTAAGCCAGTTTGAGATCCTGAGTGCCATAAGTACCACACCACCTCATCCCTCTCCCCTCCACACGCTTTGAAGGTCAGACTAGATGAAGGGAGATTCCTTTTTATCCTTTGAACTGATTTACCTTCTCATTTAGAAACAATGATATTTTCCCTCATGACAGAAATTCCTGCTATCAGTTCCTGAGGTGTGTGGCTCAGACTTACTGCAATCCTTTCCTCTCCCATTACATTCACCTTTAAGGTCACCTAGTTCTTGCAGTATGATGTTAAATATCATCTTCCATTATTATGCCATCAGTGCATCATTAGTGTCTTTCCACTTCAGTCACTGTCAACATGCAACCTAAAATCAGGATCCCCAAGGAAGAGCTTTAGTGGTCTTCCTCCATCCCAATATTACTCCTCCCCAGGCCAGTACTTCTGGTTTCACCTTGAATCATCATCACCTCCCCTTAGATTCTTGGCTTTCCTTTTCAAGCCTGAAGACAAAGCAGAGGCTTAGGTGGCAGCAGGTGAGTGAAAACAGATCACACAACTGAATTATCTTTGCTTTTAACTGCCCATAGTGGGACAGTTTTGTCCCAAAAGAACAAAGAAAAGGAACAGTTCACATTTGACCCATCTGAGATGTTCCAGGCAACTGTCTAACATTTCAAAACAGTTGGAGACCCATTTTCTCCTTGCTTCAAAGTCCACATCCATTAGGCTTAACAAGGAGTAACAGTACTGTCACCCAAATGGGGAAAAATAGTTTAAAAAATTTATAAAACAATGGAAATTTATTTTTCTCCTCTCCTCCTCTGTATTGCCTCTGTACTGCTCAGTTGTTCACTGAGATGCCTTTTGCTTTACCAGCATGATTTAGGTGTTCCTGCTATTTGAAATGCTTGTGGCACTAATGGGGAGGGATCCCTGCCCCAGGTAATGGTGTGCATTTTGGTTAGTGGGTGTTCTCACATGGTCCAGGATAACCTAATGCTGGAATACCTTTGCTGAATGGACCCCTCAGCCTGGAAAAAAACTGTGAGATTTTGATGTAGAAGTGAGTAAAAGTTGACATCGCTTACAATTAGCGACACTTAAAAATTTTTTGCAGATATATTTGTGCAAGAAAATCTTCTTTCCTCTCTTCTTCATTTAGTCTCAAAGGAAATACTTCATTTTAGGAAAGGCCTGGCTGCAATTTTCAAGTGAATGAATTTATTCTTGTGATTTACTTAAAAAAGGAATTAGAAAACTTTACATACCAAAAATTCCCAAGAAGCCAGCTGTCAGGAGGTGACATGTCGGATATGAAGTAGCTCTCCAGCTGGTCCCTGTCTGCATGCTGGGAAGGCATGTGGAGACATTTTTTCAATTGCTGTACTAGTTTGACATGTTCACAGTGGAAAATGATGTATCATTCTTGAGCCTTTGCTTGGTGGACACTTCAAAGTGCATTGGATCCTCATAGAGGAGCGCCCTATTGTTAATTGTTCCTTTCACATGTACATTGGGATGAACATGGTGAGAGCAGCGAGGAACAAAAGGGCTCCGGTGGCCTCTTAGAGAAAACCCTGTGCAGCTCAACCTGAGTCTGACCTTGAATGGGTGGGTTGCTCTGGTTTTTAAATCCTGCTTGCTGGTTCATTCCCCTCTGGCACCCCACTGTTACCAGCTGCAGGGGAATGGGATGGCAGAGCAGAGAGCAGAGCCCAGCAAGGTGTGGGGAGCTCCCCCACCCCTGCCATGCTGTGCCCAAGGAGCCACATCCTGCATGAGCATCCTCCTGGGAGAAGATGGGCATGGCTGTAGCACAGGAGCTTAGAAAGGGCTTCTGCAGTGAGTGTGTTGGATTTGTGTGGATCTGTTGTGCCCCAATAAGCAGGCAAGTCACATCCACCCTCCTCAATCAAACCAACCCACTAGCCCTCAGGCCCAGAGCACAGCCCAGGGTTCTGGAGCCCCCATGATTTGCTATAGGTCTCATAATACATGGCATGAGTTTCCCAGGCCTCTGAGAACATAATTCATTAATATCCTGAGATAATCTTTGTCTCCCAGGCACCTGTCACTTATCTCTCTATCTCTCCCTTTTTCCACCTTGGGAAACCAACTAGCTCTAGAGGGAGACTGCACAATGAAATGTGGTGTCCCAGACTGGGTTTAAAAGCCCAAGCACAGGAGTCAGTTTATTCCTGCAGAGAGAGACATGACCCTTGGTGTGCATCTCTTTGAATGAGCTGGTCAAAACCTCTTCCTGCAGCCTCAATTGCACAGAAGTGTCAGTGCAGGCCAGACACTAGGAGGAGAGAGGCACACCTACAAGTAGCAAATCAGCCACTGTTCCATAGCCACTGTGGTGCCAGCAGCTCTGCAGCACATTCTGTTGCTGACCCAGGGTCCCTAGACCAGAAACACCTCAGCCTGGGCACCACCACATACAGCTCAGGCCAGACTGAGAGAAAAGGTGTGAACAGGGATGAATGCACCAGGAGTCAACCCTGAGGCCTCTGCCCAGACTTTCATATAATGGCATAGTCTGGATCTTGGCTTCCTCTGATGAAAATTGGATAAATAGAAATGAAATAAAATAACAGTCAGTAAAATGCATGTAAAATGTAGCTGTTTTCATCCCTCAGTGCTCAGGCCTTTGATGCCTTATGTCAGTAAAATAGATTTTACTGGCTAAATATGTTGGACTTCAGTCCCTGCTTTCCTCAGCACACATCTGTGTTTGGTTCAGAGCTGGCAGTATCTCCCTGATGATGGGTGCACAGGTGCTGTCCCCCTATCCAGTCTTCCCATCTCTGTGGTACTGGGGAGTGGAGAGCAGGAGCAAAGCTTCTTCAGCTGTGGGAGGCAGCGGGTGCTCACTGGCATACAGGCTGCTGCCAGCTCTGTGTCATCAGTGCACACCAAGGGCACCTCTTCTGCTCTCCTTTCCTCCAGCTCTAGGTTTTACTGTGCTTTTAAGTAATTGTCACCCCTTAGGGACAAGCCTTCGAGAAGGCAGAGGGCTCGCATAACTCTGGATCAGTAAAGGAAGCAGTTCAATTAGCATTTCACACGCCTTTTCTTCCCTCTCTTCTTACCTTCCCTGCAGCGGGCATGCTTTCCCCTTAAAGGATTGTCCTGTTTCTGCTCCTTGCCAGCGTTGGCAGGGTGACAGTAGTCGAGTGTGCAAACTTGTGCTATTGTCCCCAGGCCAGGGGGAGTCATGGAGACCCACTAATATGACACAGGAAAATGTTTGCTGATGGCAATTCTATGGGCTTTGTCTAACTCTTTCTCCATCATGACGACTCGATTTAAGTCTCTAACTGTTTGACTACAGATGCAAGAGTACTATCCAACTCCATCCTTTTGTTCGGGAAGTTTGAATGGGTAATTCAGCTTTTGTGTAACTCAATTGAGGGGGCAAACATAAAGACAAGATTCTTGAGCGCTCAAGCTCCCTTTCCATGGATATCTGCACATCTCTTTAGAGATTTGTTCCTTTCCTACCTTTTTCTGACATCATCCTCCCCTTAAAAAAAAAAAAAAAAGCTCCGATGGGGAACAGTTAAAAGTAGGCTAGTCCAGTCCCCCGTATTATATTGTCCTGTGCCAATGAAGCATGTTTAGTATCAGCCCCCAGACAGCTCTGGAGAATGCAGAGAAAAGGGTCTCTAAACTTTCCTAACTGATCTTCAGCATTTTTGCTTTGGATTGTGTAATTTTAAAATGAAAGGTTTCCATCGGGGTGAAGAGGATAGGGAGAATGGTAGAAATCATGGGGAAATGATTGTATTAATTAGCTGTCTTTCTGCGGCTGTCCCCATGGAGACAATTTGTGATGGCAAAGAATGCAAGGAGGGGAGGCTGATGCCTGATTGGGATGCTTTGTATTTGGCAAAGTGGCTTCTGATTGGCCTGGGAGAGCCCCGAACTCGCTGGAGTCGATATTCATTCAGCTTGCTCAAGTGCTTGCTAAACTACATCCAAACACTGGCGGGCCCTGGCTGCCTCCGCCGAGGTTGGCGGTGTGTAACCTGCCTAACGAGATTAGCGGGGAAGGGGCTCTCTCTTCTCTCTTCTCTCTCTCTCTCTCTCTCTCTCCCCTCCGCAGCGACGCTGCCGCCAGCACCGGTGAGAAAAGCTGCTGCGCGCCGGGTGAGTGTCCGTGCTCGCTTCCAGGGCGGCCACCCCGGCTTCTGTCCACCTAAGCGCTCTCTAACAAGATTAGGCGCTGAGCTGCTGGCGCTTGTGAGCCGGGCCCGTGCCGGTGTGTGCTGGGGCAGCCGTGCGGGGCGGTGGGCTGCGGGCACGCGTCCGCTCCGACGGCAGCTTCCCTGCGTGGAAGCGAGCTGACGAACCAATTGTTTGCGTGGCCGGGAAGTTTGACACGTCCTCCCTCCGTTTGCTTAGTGCTATTTGAACCAAAGCTTCTTGCTCAAAAGTCTGCCTGTCATTTTTCGCAGGTTTGCCTGAAGAAGGATTATAAACTTTTCATGGGAAATTCTGCACGGTGCATTCAGTGAGATGGCATCGGACAGCGAGGTAAAAACTCTACTGAACTTCGTTAACCTGGCTTCGAGCGACATCAAAGCGGCTCTGGATAAATCAGCTCCTTGTCGCCGGTCGGTTGACCACAGAAAATATTTGCAGAAGCAGCTCAAGCGGTTTTCGCAGAAGTACTCGCGGATCCCACGGTGTCACCCCAGCAAAGCCCCTGAGTGCGGCTGGCGCAGGGGGGCAGAGGACCGGGCCCGCGGCCCCCAGCCCGAGGCACCTGAGCCCAGCCCCCACGGCGGGGCTGCCGCCGACAAGGTGATGCAGACAGCCGAGGCAGAGGAGAGCCTCACCGGGGAACGGGTTTTGCAGGAACAAAAGCCCGAGGCTGCCCGACCGGACCAGGTGCCCATGAGGAAGCGACAGCTCCCCGCGTCCTTCTGGGAAGAGCCACGGCCGGCCCAGAGCCTGACGGCCAGAGCCTTTGCTGCCAGCCCTGAGGGGCTCCAAACCCCCAGAGACCCTCCTCCCTATGAGGGGAAGAAAAGCAAAAGGAGCCCAGACGCTGCTGGCCCGGAGAGCCCCCCTGACACTGCCCCACATGCCGGGGAGAAGGACCCCGCCGGGCCCCTTTCGGGCCGAGTGGGTGCTTGGACCTGCTGCCCCTTCCCCTGCCCCGGGCCAGGCGTGTACCAGCCCCCGGGCGCGCTGCCCCCGTCGCCCTTCCCGGGGCTGGGGCTGTGGAGGAAGAGTGCGGCCACGCTGCCGGCGGAGGTGCCGCACTTCTGCAAGGAGGCCGATGGCCAGGGGCAGAAACTCTACAGGCCCATGGTTCTGAAACCCATCCCTACCAAGCCCGCCATCCCCCCTCCCATCTTCAATGTTTTTGGGTATCTTTAGCGGGGCGGGTGTGGGAGTCATGCCGAACACGACAGCTCCCGAGGGGGGTTTGAAAGGCCCGGCCAGCCCTCGGGCATGAGCCGCTGGCAGCGGCGG